CTCTCTCTCTCTCTCTCTCTCTCTCTCTCTCTCTCTCTCTCTCTCTGTGTGTGTGTGTGTGTGTGTGTCTGTCTGTCTGTCTGTCTGTGTGTGTGTGTCTGGTGTGTTGAGGGAGATGTTCTCGATTCCTAGTCTTAACTCTCAATTTAAACGTCAGAGAGCATTCGATTAGGAGAAAGCTTTCTAAACCTTAAAATTTCTTGTCTATGGGAAAGGAACTTATTTAGAAAGACACAGCAGAACCTCTAGGTACCCAGTCTTCTTCCTTCACCCCATCAGCTGCCAACAACTAGAGGCACTCTGTACCTAGGAGGCGTTCTCTGTCTACCTGGGAACCAGTTGCCCAGACCAGCCAGGAATCAGGTAGGTGATTTCCACTTCCCTTCCTATCCTTCATTGCAAACCCCAGCCTCAACCCCAGCCCTCTAGCAGACAGACCACTTGCAGAAGTCTGTCCTCTTTCTGTCTTCATGTCTTGTGGACTCCACTAAACCTCACACGGACCCAGCTTTCCTTCTTCCTGTGGATCCTCTTACCTCTCACTCCTAGTCCACTCCCATTTCTTTGTGTCAGTTCCCAGTACTTAGAAACACTCTCCACTCTGGTCCCCAAGTGACCACATGAGGTAGGGACTGAGAAACATGCCTACCAGCCAACCCACACCAACCACTGAGCTTTCCTAAGATCTGCAAACAGCAACAGACACCAAAAAATGGAACACTCACCCCAACACCAGTATCCATGCCTAGAATCACAACCAGCCCAAACCCAGATGTCTAGACACCACTGCAAAAACACAATCATTAACACCCAAGACAATACGACTCCACCAGAACCCAGCAACTATACTAAAGCAGGCCCTAAGAAATGCAATCTGGCTGAAGCACAAGGACTTCAAAATAACTGCTATGAATGTGTTCAAGGATCTTAAAGAGGATATGAATAAACCCCCTAATGAAGTCTTTGAAAATTCAAAGAAAGAGTGGGATAAAATGATGAAAATAGTCTAAGACATGGAATTAATAATAGAATCACTATTTCCCAAACTGAGCAAAAACTGGAAACAAAAAATGTAGAAAGTCAAACAAAACCTCAGAAGTGAGCCTCACCAACAGAGTACAAGAGATGGAAGACAGAATCACAGCCATTGAAAACACACAGAAATGGATACATTGGTCAAAGAAAATGTTAAATATAAAAATATCCAGGAGCAAAACATCCAGGAAATTGGTGACACTATGTATAAAAAGACCAAATCTATGAATCAGGAATAAAGAAAGGAGAAGAAATCAAGGTCAAAGGCACAGAAAATATTTTCTACAAAGTCATAGAAGAAAATCTCCCTAACCTAAAGAAGGACATGTCTATAAAGGTACAAGAAGCTTATATAGCACCAAATAGACTGAACAAGAAAGAAATTCCTCTCAGCCAAAATAATCAAAAGCCTAAACGTACAAAACAAAGAAAGAACTTTGAAAGCTGCAAGGGGAAAACATCAAGTAGCATATAAAGGCAGACTTGTTAGAGTAATACCCAGCTTCTCAACAGAGACTCTGAAATCCAGAAGGACCTGAATGTATATTATTTAAACTCTAAGAGACCACAAATGCTAACCCAGACTATTATACCCAGAAAAACTATCAATTACGTAGATAGATAAAGAAAAGCATTCTGCGTTAGAGTGAAATTTAAGCAGTATCTATGTATAAAAGGTGCCAGAAGGAAATTTCCATGTGGAAAAAATTAACCACTTAACTTTTCAAAACAAAAAAAAACCTTGTTTCCACCCAAGGAAACAAGGAATAATCACAGACCAGCAAATCAAGGGAGGAACTCCACACCACAACAACAAAATAACAAGAACTGGCAACATCAATATCAGTGGGGCCAGCTCCCCAATAAAAAGACAAATACTAACAGATAGGGACAGGAGTCATACTTTGCTGCATCCAACAAAACAAAACAAACACACAAACAAAAATACCTTAACATCAATGGTAGACATCTCCTTAGGGTAAAAGGATGAGAGAAAATATCCCAAGCAAACAAAACCAAGAAACAAACCCATGTAGCCTTTAATATCTAACAAAATGGACTACAAATCAAAACTAATCCGGAGAGATAGAAATGGACACTGCATATTTGTCAAAAGAAGAAATCCACCGAGAAGATGTTATAATTCTTAACATCTATGCACCAAACACAAGGACGCCTAAGCTCACAAAAGAAACACTGCTACAGCTTACGTCACACATTGACCCTCACACAGCAATAGCGGCTGACTTCAGTACTCACTTTTGCCAACAGAGGGGTGATCCAGACAAACAACTAAATGGAGAAATGCTGGAGTTAACTGATGTTATAAACCAAATGGACTTAGAAGATATTTCACCTGCACC